GGGGGGGGGGGTGCCAGGCTTTGAGGGGCACTTTCGGGAGGGGGTCTCAAACATTTTTTCCGGAGATGCCAAAAAAATGTTTTGAGATATATCACATTTTTTCCTAAATATGAAAAAAAAATTTCCGGATATACCCAAAAATTTTCCGGATATAAAAAAGGCAATCCTTAAGACATTTCTCACGCAAGAAAAGGGCACTTTGCTCACGGAAAAAGGGCACTTGGCAAAACTTTGAGGGCTGGCCCCCCTGCCCCCCAGTTCCTACGCCCCTGCCCTTACCGCATTGACCTTTGTTTTGCGTGTTCGTTGTTGACATATGATTGGTCAGTTGATCTTTCATTCGCTTTGGATATCGCCTTTTTGTGGCTGTTGACAAACCTATCCTGTCACAATGAGATTATAACCAGGTTTGAAGGTGACAAACGTGTTGTCTCATTAACTTTAATTTATATATTGTTATACATGTATATAAATTTGCTAAAAATCAAAGTAACAAAATTCATAAACAGCAAACACTTAACGCAAACTTGTCCTATATTTTACGATTTCCTGTAGTAAATCAATTCTTCTCATTTCTTCAAACAAAAATTGCTTCAAAGCTCATTGTATGAAATAATTTTCCGAATATTTGTTTTTGAAAATTGAAATCTTGCTTATTCCACTACTGGCAAACAGCCATATTCTTGAGATCAGTGAGGAGGCCACCCTTGGATCATGGTCACACGCGTTTCGATTATTGATAAACTTTAGGCTCCTAATGCTTTCCCTTCCCCGGGTGTAAATTGCCGTGCGGAATTAGTACCCTCGCCCCGGGCTAACGCCCGGAACGGCATTGCCTCGGGAAAAATATAGTTTAGGTTGTCGGCAGCACATGGTAGTGAATATGTCCGTTAACTCTCTGACCGGAGTTTGATTCCTACTGTCGCTGATTTTAATTTCACCTCAGTCTCATTAGTCACATTACACAAGACTACCACCTATCACCTGGATAAATAGCCATAAAGTATAGGTTTCCTCCTGAGCGAAAAGGGCCTACCGGGTGTCC